CAACTGAACACTTGTCATTCACCTGAGAAAGGCCCAAAGAGGTTTGAATGAAATTGCAGGCAAATGCCAGCTTCTATACTGAAATGCATAATTTTTTTGCTTCTTATGATTTCTCTAGAAGTTATTCAGAACTCATTTATTTATTAATTGAATTTTGCCTGAGACATGTAAGGTAATCCCCCTTAGCTCCATCTGGAATACTCCTTTTAAAAATGTTCTGATCCTTCTTGACTTTAGTCATTAGGGTGTTTGGAGATCAGATAATACTGGCATCTTTTCATAATGCCTTGATGGTAATTTTTAGCCAACTATATAACTGGGATTTTTCATTTTTTAAAAAATTATTTCTGTATTTTTCTGGACTTCCCAGTGGCCAGTCATAAAAGCAAATAACATAACTACCTCAAATAGGAAGCATCTTAATGCAGAACTACTTCAAGTTTATATTTTCAACAAGATTTCCCATAAATTTGTTTTTTTGGGTAATGGACAACTGATTGAGTGGAATACCACTGTACTTGAGACCAGAATTAGGGTAGAAGATTTTCCAGTATTTAAATGTTGTAAAGGCCAATGGCAGACCCTGTGAGGTGTCATCTGATTCCTTGCAAAGAGACACTTTGTTACTCCTGTGTTGATGGTGTCTGCAGTTCAGCCCCCTCATGGATTGCTTCTCCCAACTAAGTCCTTCCAGTGGCTATCTCCAGTGACCCATGGATGTGGCACTCTAAAGGCCTGATCGTTGGAGGCCAATAGAGGACATATTTAGAGGGTAGTTCAAGCTCCAGAGTCTGTATGGGGTATCTGAGTCAGGTGCAGACTTACTTTACAGTTTGACTTCTCTCCCTGTCTACCAGTTTCTGTCCCTTCATTTCCATAAGCGATGAACTGACATTTCTGCCAAATGATCATTCTTCACGTTAGACTCCATCTCAGAGGTTGTTTCTCAGGGTACCCAAATATTCCTCAAGTGAGGATGGAATCTATCATCCATCCACCAATCTGTCTATCCATTTCTTTACACTATTGTTTTTATTAAGCCATCCTCCATGCAATTCAGAAGATTCATTATTATTCTTTTCAATAACATTTCTTCAGGTTATAACACACATCCTATTCACTAGATAGCCATTTGTTATGTTTAACTAATTTCCCAAAGTTTTATATTAAATGTGCAATGTTTAGGCATATTAGCATATTTTGTGATGAAAATCTCAAAGTGCATCTATTACTAAATTTGATTTCACCAAATTATCTGCAGAGGGCAGCAAAGAATAATCTTAATGTAAATAGATGATAAATGACCAACCATAAGTTTTGTTTATTGGAACAAAAGAGACAACTATGAAGTCAGTGTGTCCAATTTGGAAAAAAAAAAGTGAGGGAATAGATGAATAGATCTATTTATGGAAGATGTATCAGAGACAAGACAGAATTAAAAGGCAGGGCGTTAAAGAAAGTATAATTAGCCATATAGTTAAGAAATAGATTTTGCTGTGAGATTTCTTGGGCTTGAGTCCTATCTCCATCATTGATCATCTGTATTTATCATCTGGTAAAATCTACTTAATTTTTAAGGCTTTAATTTCTTAAACTGCAAAATGGGGATAATAATATTTGCTACATAGGGTTGTTGAAAGTACTAAATGAGGCAATATTTTAAATTGTTTAGAACAAGGCCTGTGTGTTCAGTTTAAGGCAAATATTTACTCTGAATATGACCAGTGAAATCTAAAATTCATACTAGGCATCAAACAAAATATGGTTACTAATTTCTCTGTTGGGTGTAGCGAATATCTGCTCCTAAACTTTCCTTTTTGTACAGTCTATAAAATCATAATGAAAAAAATAATCAGTAGCTTTCAGGTGGCTATATTTTTTTTCTAAATTTCTAAGGATAATTTTTGTGTAGTGAAAATTTCAAGATAAATATCAGTACAACAGTGGATGTAAAAATAGATATGTGCATTTTGTGAGGTTCTTTTAAGTTACCAATCAATACATTTAATTGTGCATGGAGGAAGATCCAGGACTTCAGACAATTTTTGAGAACTTGGGTTGATAAAAATTGTAGAGAGGTGAATTGGAAAATAGAAAATGGATATGTCTAGGAGTGCAGAGATTTGATTTTACAGTGTTCTGCAGTAATGGTTAGATTTGGATCTCTAATTGTGCCACGGGGGCAGGGAGGAAATAAAGAGTGAAATGTTGTGGAGTTTGGGTTTCTTGAAATTCTTCATACCATTAGGCATTGTTCTTTTACCTTTATGAAATTTCTAAGTTAGACTTGGGTAGTGGTAGCACAGGGTAGATTGAAGGAAATGGGACTAAGTGATTAGCTGGTGTGTTTGTGTATGCGTTTGAAAGGGGACATCAGACCAGATAGCTGAACTAGAGAGCTTGCCGAAAGTAAAGATGCCAAAGAAGCAGGTACTGGACTATTTTTGCAAGGATGCATATCCAGAAAATTCAGCTATGTGCCTGGGAGCAGGCAGGTAATGAAATTCCAGGTGGTTAATACTCAAATAGAAGGTGAATGATTAGGCAGTGATCCTGCATAATAAAGAGCCCAAGGAACAAGGGGCCAAAGAGACTGCAGTATATATAAAAGCTCCGTGTTCAGTTTCTTCATAATGGGAGGAGTCCCCGGGCAAGACTGCAGTGTCCTACCTTAAATGATGGTGGCTAAATCTGAATCTGACTTGGAGACAGAGAAGTACACCTGATCAGAAGAAATTTACTTCAATAGCATTTGTAGGCAGATGAACCAATTTTGAGTTAATCAGCAGTGAAAGTTTGGGGATATTGTAACTTAATTGAGCTCTAAAACTTACTAAATCTTTTTTGTTTTAGCTGCCACAACCATTAATTGGCATCACATCATTTTTTTCCCTTTTCACATGCCCTGATTCTTAGTAGGTATTATTGAAGAAAAGACTGGTAGAGTAAAAGGTTGGAGTTTCTGGCTTGACCAAAACTTTTCTCTTGCTCTTCTGCTGTTTTCTGGGTCCCTGTGCTCACGGGGCACAGCCAAGAAGAATTTGGGGTCTTTAGATTTTTTCAGAAAAATACATTTACCAGACATGCATATATTTCTCTTATTATACTGAGTTTTGGGGCATACTTTAGGTGGATAATTTTGCTAACTAATCCTTGGTCCCTTTATTATTTTGAACACTTGCTCTCTATACGAAGTAAAGGTAGGGGTTTGAAGGTGGAAGAGATAGGGAATAGAAAGAAAAACAATCTCATTCTGCCAAATCAACTTGGTGAATCTGTCATTTTTGATACCACTCAACTAACTCCTGAACTGCTGATAGCAGGCTGTAGTCTGATCTCAGATGAGCACATGGGAGTGTTCTTCTCGAACTAGCAAATGTGAAATATTTCACTTTCAACTGTGTTACCAAATCACTTTGAAACTTTGGGCAGAAGATCATTTAGCCCTTCTGTGGTGAGTTTTGGTTGTGTCACTGAGCAAACATTAAAATAAATGATCATCAAGAATTTTTGATGACTTACAAAAAAGTTCCTGTCAATTTAATAATAAGTGGAAAAAAAGGCTATAGACTTGATTAAGAAATGTGCCTCATGACATTGGACTATTAATTGCATAGCAGAGACAACTCTAGGTCTGTTATCAAAATCCATGGTCTGATCTGCTATATGTGGTGGAAATCAAGAGTGTTTTATTTTAAATGACATTTTCTCACTTATTTTTCTGACACCTGGTTAAACATTGGACAGAGGAGAAGATTGCTATAATCCACTCAAGGTCATAACTCATTCTCTCAGTCTTCCATGCCGTTAGAGACCTTGTTTTACTGTCTGAGCCAAATCAATTCACTGGGAAGAAAGCCAGAGAAGGGGGAGGGGAAAATATATATAGTTTAATGTTTGGAAAGAAGGAAGATGGAATTGCTAACTTAGAAAAAAAATGCATTGTGTTTAATCTTTTTCCTGTTTGCAATGTTTTCTTCCCCTTCCTGGAGGGTTTTGCCATGGGTTAGGAAATTCTTAACACACAGAATATTTTTTTTTTCTCTCTCTCAGATGTATCTAAATGCAGACTAACTGGCAACATTAGGCAGAGTTTTCCTGGAAAGTTGGAATTCCAGATGGGTGTCAACTAAAAGATGAGTGTTTATTAATTTTGTTAAAATAACAGTGTAACTCTTCAAAGATGAAAGTAATTGCCAATGAGTACTGAACCGTGACATAAAATGATGCTCCCCCCATGTCTACTTCATGAAAATATGTCACCTTATAGGGCAAAATGGACTTTGCAGATGTGATCAAGGATTGTGAGACAGAGAGATTATCCTGAATTATCTGATGGATTCAATACAAACACGAAGGGTCTTTATAAGAGGGAGGCAGGGGAGTCATGATCAGAGAAGGAGATATGACAGTGACAGAAAGGTTAGAATGATGTGGCCACAAGCCAAAGAATGCAGACATCCTTTAGTAGCTGGAAAGGACACAGAAGAGATTCTCTCCATAAGCCTCCAGAAAAGCTGTAGCTCTGCTCACGCCTTGGTTTTAGTCCTATAAGACTCATTCCAAACTTCTGACATCCTGCCTGGTAAGATACTAAGTTTGCATTGTGTTAAGCCACTAAGTTTGTGGTTATTTGTTAGAATAACAATGGAAAACCAACCTATTTATGACACTTCCAGACTTGTATGCAGATTTCCTTCCTAGACAGCAATTTTATCCAGGATTTTTCAAGCAGACATATTTCTTCCAGATCTGAATACTAAGGCTGTACACTTCAACCTGGAGAAAGCTTCTAAAAGGTATCATGACTGGGAAATGTATAGCCATGAACCCCAAACAGAGAAATATCCTGTCTTACTTTTTAATGTAAGTTTAGACAAATCCGTTTTTCTTGGGCATGTTCAATGTCTTACTGTAAAGTTTATCTGTGAGCAGCAGAAGTGAGAGGGGAACCAATGAGCTGAAAGATAACTCAATCAATCTGCTTCCTCTGTCTTTGCTTCAGCGCCTTGTACAGGAAATCCAATGCTGTGTCAAGTTCCAGAGAAGAGTTTCTTCTCTTCCAAGTTACTAATCAGGCTAAAACACATCCAGTAGGGGAAAGGGCTTGGAGGAAAGAAGTCCCCTGCTGCTGCTGGACTAAGAGGAACCAGCACCAAGAAGTCGACTGGAGGGAGCCTCGCCATGCTCACAGCTGCTCCTCTACCTGTCAGGAGGAAAAGTACTGAGTGAAGGGCAGAAAACAAAACAGAAATGCTCTGCCCTTGCAGAACTCATGACCTAGGGCTACTCTTGATGTTGACCTCCTTCTTCGTGTCGGGTGAGTCTGAGTTCTCTTTGGGAGAATGACTGGTGAGAGACCTGGACTTAGCTCCTCTGGGGTTTTCTTTGCCTTTCTTATGGGACAATGCAAGCCCATTGTAGCCATAGATGTAAGACATTACCCACAGGTTTATTTGATTTTATCATCTTTACTTTCTGTTTTGTCTTGTTTATTTTACTTTATCCTACCACAATATGTATATTTCTATGATTTGCCTTACTGCCCCTTCCTTATCCCTCATTCCCCTTTTTCTGACAGGGCAGGCAAAAATTAAACACATACTAGCAGCAATCAAAGTTGTCTGGGTTCTCTTTATCTTCTTTGCTTCTTTAGGAAAAAAAATAAATAATTATCTTATCCCATTTAAGTCCACATTGTTGATAGCATAGATTAGGAAAGTTTATTGCTTTCTACTGGTTTTTATGACTAGGTACTTTTGAAATATAATATATGCATGCAGTTTTGCTGGAACACCTGTGATGTGTGTCTGTATTTTTCTTGAAGGTGTGTGGGCTGTAGGAAACACTTTCTGAATTAGAGGACACACTCCTCATCTTAGGTTCCTGTAGGAGTTGAAGAGAACATGGGGGCTACTGCGGGGGTGTCCTGTTTCACTACAGAGGGTTGTTAAGAGTTGATGTGATAGGGAGTTTGCAGGTTTCACTTTTAGTAGATGGAACAGTGGCAAAGGAACAATGTAGTTAGTTTTAAATTTTATAAATTTTGTAATTGAAAGAGAAAAGGTATTTTTCCCCTCATTGGAATAACTCTAAAGTCATTTTTATCTATCTTTCAGCAAAAAAAGAAATATCACAGGTTTATCTTACTGGTGGGTACACACAAAATAACCATCCTCCACTACTGTACCTTTCTGAGAATTTTCACATATTTTTTTTCTCTTTTGATCTGTACAGTAACCCAGTAAAGTACGCATGGAAGACATCTCTTCATTTTACAAAGATAGAAACTGAGGCTTAGAGAGATGACATGATTTGTTCAAGGTTAGAACAACTAGTATGTGTTCATACTCAGTTATAACATATGTCAGTAAACATCAGGAGACATTTGAAAGAGTGATTTTCTTCAATGTTTAACCCTTGTGCTACTCTCTGTTTCTCACTCCACCACTATTTAAATACCACTGAAAAAAGGGAGAGCCAAAAATTTGTTATAAACTCACTATGGACTGTTATTCACTTAAAAAAAAGTGATCTGAATCTTTCCACAGTTGGAATCTTGTTTTAGAAAGCTCTTCTAAAAGGCTGTGCAGTGCCCAATGTGGTCAGGGGAAGCCAGATAGTTGAGGTACTGTTTATGGTGATTCGAACTATTACTCTTGGGAAAGGGAAAAGCATAACAAGATGAAAGTATAATAATTTGAAATTTGAATGTTTAATGGTGTAAAATTTAAAATGATTTCTGTGCACAACAAGGAGATATTGCATACATCAAATCTCTGAAGTCTGTTCTTGTATCATTGTAAAGTTGTCAAAATGTTTAGGAATCAAGATATTAAAAAATCCAATTATGTGCAGTGATTTGGTGTGATAAATTCCCCAAGAAATGATTTAGGAGAGTGAGAAGAAAACCACTTGTGGTGATGGCTTTATGTTTCTTACTGATATTGCTTTGTTGTCAATACTGCCTAATAGAAGCAACTCACTGTGCCCACAACACATTCACCAAGGAGCAAGAGAGCTCCTGGCTTCAAGTTAACCATGCTTAACTGTTTACTTTTATCTACTTATTTGCTTATAACTTTAAGCAATGTGGAGGTTAGTAGACAAAATTTAATAACAAAATACCTGAGGGTGAAACTAAAGGTAATTTTGATTGTCCATTCCAAAGCCAAGTTCCAAACCTTGTACCAAGTCATCCTCCCTTCCACTGCTCAATATTCTCTGCTGCTCCTATCTTTTGAGTCTTGTCTTCTAGATTTTTTTGTATGTGTTCAAATTTTATTTTCCCATTTCAATTAAAAGCATTGTACCTTTTACAAAAGTTATTGATTTCACCAAAATGAGTTGCTGAATAGGAACCCTCATCTTTATTTTGGGGGGATAATTTTTACTCATTTATCATCACCTTCCACTAGAGGGCAAGCAGGCAACAGAGGAAGTAGATAAAAATCAAGACTGAGCTATGGGGTAATTTGAGCAGAATTGCAAAAGATGGAGAAAGAGATTAAAAGCAGTTGTGAAAAAAAAAAGAAAGAAAAAAAGAAAAGATTTGTCTTTCTTTAATTTTAGCCCTTTCTTTTTTAGTTTGTGATAGTTGTGAATTTACATATTAAAATAATTTATAAGTATATTTTCCTATAATTGTTTAAGCAATTAATAAATATATTGGAAGGCCTTATTAAGAGCATGGAGTGTATTCAAAGCTGAGATGAAGTCTTTGGGAAAGATTTAAAATTAGTACATCTTGACTTTTTTTTTGTCTTGGAGCCCAGGAACAATCTGAAGAAAGTTGAAATGATGGTGGGTTGCCTTGCTGAAGTCTTCATGGAGGAGAAGTATCTGGAATTGGGCCTTGACTGATAGGTTTGGGAAAGTCAGTAACTTTGTAAAAGGTGGAATGATTTTAACTGGAGCAGGAATATATAATTCAAACACATACCCCAAACCTAGAAGATGAAAGGGGTAAAAGGAGGAAGAAGTAGTCTAAGAGATGAGGAGTTGAAGGAAGGGGGACCAGTTACAAGGTTGGGAACTTGACTCGGTGGTGGATGATTTAAATTATTTTTAGTTTCCCCCTCAGGTATTTTCTTATTAAATCTTGTCTACTAACCAGAAAGCAGAGAAGGAAATTGGGAGCGGGGGCCATGTAATGTGAGCAAAGTCAAGGGTTTTCGGTGGAGAAAGAAATCTAGTTTGATGGCACAGATATCATGTGCTGTATGATAATAGGAAATAAGGCTGGGTTTCAGGGGTCTTTGGTAACTGAGTAGAGAAATCTAAGAACTGTGCATTAGACAACGAGGGGTCATCTATTATTTTGTGAACAGGAAAATAATGTAATAAGGTAATATTTTGGGAGAATAGTATAGCAGCAGAGTCCCATTGAATGTTGGTAGCACTAAGTAAAAAAATTATTTTGAAACAGGAGCCAAAAGATTCTACCCCAGTATTCAATGATCCACATTGTTGGCTGAGAAGGGAGTTTGTAGAGGAAGGTATTCAGCTCAGTTTAGGGAGGAGAACACTAAGGAGGGAAATTCCTGTATGTACTTGGAAATGTAGCAACATCCAGGGTTTGTGGACAATTTATGAAGAGGATAATTCCACAAAAAGACTACCCATCAAAATACACATAACAGAATAAGCGCTAGAGATTTCTGGATTGGATCCTAAGGAGCCTAATTATCTCATTCCTCTTTATAACAGAAGGCAAGATCTAAGAAGAGATAGGAAGACACACATGATGAACTATGAATTGTGTAGATAACCTTAAATGGGAGGAAAGATACTTTTGCTGAAATTGAAGAATGAGAAGTTGAAGTTGAGTTGAATGAGAAGAATAGAAGTTGAGTGTGGGAAGACTAATAAATTAAGAATATCAATAAGGAGGCCAGGCATGGTGGCCCATGCCTGAAGTCCCAGGAAGGTAGAGGCAGGAGGATTGAGAATTCAAAGCCATCCTCAGCAAAAGCGAGGCACTAAACAACTCAGTGAGACCGTCTCTAAATAAAATACAAAATAGGGCTGGGAATGTGGCTCAGTGATAAAGTGCCTCTAAGTTCAATCTCTGATGGTAGTTGGGGATGGCAATAAGGAGATGTGAGAATATTAAAGTGTTTATTGTATAAACTGCTTCCCAATAAGATTATGAGTATTTTAATAAATAGTGCTTGTTAATAAAATCAAACAGAGGTAATATGATTTTATAATGTATCAAAATATTCATCTATACAGTGATTAAAATGTAATAGTCATTAATATATTTTTGCCTTTTCTCCCAAATATTATTCAGGCATCAACACCAAGAAAACAATTTCCAACTTTTCCACAATAGAATTTATAGGCCTTGCATATCTGAAAACCTAGACCCCATTCTGAGAACAAAATCTCATTTGTGTTTAAGGGAAGCACTATAGAAGAGTCCCAGGACTGAAGCAGGACTGGAAGTTTTTTCATTTCTAAAGATATAATTTTCTTCAAAAATCTCTAGTACTTTGAGTTAGTGATGGTGTTGCAGATTATCTTGGAATCAGACTGATGTAGTTTCATGTGCAGAATATTTACTGGTAGAGGGAAAAGTCTTCCTGGGATCTCAACCAGCTGTTACCCACTCCTAACCCTGTGGGGGGCTTTAGAGATATAATGGCCTTAAAGAGAACCTTCGTTGTCAAATTGGCTGGTACTTTGTACTTTCAGTCTGCTGGTTATTGGATGAGGACTGTTCTAGGAAAGATCTGACTTTGGGCAGAAAAACTGAGGTAATATTGCTGAAGATGCTGGAGATGGAATGCTGTATTCTACCAGTGCTCCCAGTAACAGCCGTGGAGTCATTGCTTGAAGGAGATCCTGGAGCATGTCCACATCTACCATAGTTGGGGTTTCCAGTACTCTTCAGTCCTTTTTGATTTTCCCAGTTTCTATCTAGTATAGTATTATTTCCCTTTAGGTTGAAAAATTTCTTTTGTCATTTCTAGAAGTGTAAGTTTTCTGGCAAGGAGTTCTTTTAGTTTTCTTTTATATAAAAAAGTATTTGCTTTCATTCTTGAAGCATATTTTGGTTGGATGGAGAATTTGGGGCTGAACTTTTTTTTTCTTTCAGTACCTTAAAAATGTTTTACTATCTTGGATGAGAAGTCAGTTGGCCATATACACCATTGTTTTCCTGAATATAATGTGCTATTTTTTTTTCTGGCTGCTTTCAACCTTTCTCTCTCTATTGTATCTAACAATTATAACATGTCCATTTTGTGTGGTTATTTTCATCTTTAAGGAATTGCTTAGCCTCCTTAGATAGTAATTTACTGATTTGTGAAATGA